AATGAAGAGAAACAATTTAAACTGCATCTAGTTAATTCAGGACAACTTAAAAAGACGAAAAATGAGAAAAGAAAGAAGTTCATTTTTTCGTAAAAACAAACTTCAAAACACAGTTCAAATACAATACTGAAACAGTCTAATTGATATAACTGCGTCAAAGTTTTTCGATTATCCCACAATTCAACGGTCGACACTAAAATTGAAATAGAACCAATTTACAATAGATAGACAAGAAAAATCTAATGATGAATGAAAATTAGTTAACCTGTATGCTTTCAAATATTTATGTGATAAACTTTAGTTTTATCAAAGGACAAAGCTAGAGAAAGAAACTGTATAAGAATAGCAGCTAAAAATGTTAAAATCAGTCATTCTGCAAGATAATTTAACATTTTATTTAGTCATTTTTAAATAAAAATTGAGTAGATAAAAATTAAAATTAAAAACTATATCAAATAATTCTTCGTTTATACTAGCTATGTTTTCTTCTGTATGTATAAGATGGGCAGAAAAGGAACAAACAACTGTTTCTAAACCACTGTTATTATTGTTACTATAATGAAAAATAGATATGGTTCAGTGGAGGACCAGTAACTCTCAAAGGCAAAATTCTGTCATCCCTATACACATAAAGTGGAATAGATTTACCAGTTCTCTTCAATGGTGGCTTTATAGCTTTTATAACTAGAGATTCTTTGATTAATAATTCATATTTATGTTTTTCTCTTAATAAAATTTTGAATTCATTATTATTATATTCATGTTCCTTTAAGACGTGTCGCAACTATCTGAATCGTTTGGTTTACGATTTATAAACAAAACAAACCGAATTCCTTTACGGTAGCAAAGTTAAGCGGGCCGCGTCGATGGACGTTTTTTTGTGAAAATTGTATTTTCACTGACTTTTGTATTTATCTACAATAGGAATATTTAAAGTCATCTGTAAATTATATTTGTAATAGGACATATTTCAATGTTCTAACTAATAGATTACTCTCAATATTCAATGCAGTATTCCAAAGTTGTTATTCTATTAATAAGATTATAGTTTCAATTACTCAAATTATGTAAAGACAGAGTCGAGCGATTGGTCTGGAAGATTCTTACCAAAGCTGGGTAAGTGAGAGGCTTTGCAAGTCAAGTGAGACTTGGCTTGACTTGCCCAGCTTTTATTCTTACGTCCTCAATTAAGATAGAGAATCTTACAGTCTATTCAAAAGTAAAAGTTATTTTTATGGTAAATTGAATAATCTTTGAATAAAGACAGACGGTGATCTGTAGTTTTTGATGTTTGATAGTCAAGGTCGATGCACATATTTTCGTTAAGAAAAAACATAGATTCAAAAATCTTTGGCAGGAAAAAAAAATCTTTGTAGGTTGTCGTCTGTCTTTATTTAACGGTAATATGATCTGTAGTTGTGTGTTGAACAATGAATTGTTAGTTTTCTCGTGTAACGCGTCAAATGAAACATGTACCTTTGTATTTGATCAATTAATACACAAAAATAGTTTTATACGTCGAAGAAACTGTTTCGATACTTGATGATAATGAGCACGGTAACAGTTTTAGAAACTCTATAATTTCATCAGTGGTTGGCTTTTTCAGTAATAAATTCAAACTAAAAGAAAAATAAGTATAATCACTGTGATAAGAAAATATTTATTACCGCGGTACTTACCGTAAAGTATCATTATCTAATTTTTCTTTTATATCCAATATATAAACTGAATTTTCGGCCGAAATAAATCCATCAGTTTGTATTTTAAAATCTTATAGATACTGTCAACACATTTTCCAACCAATGTAATTCGCATGCATTTGAAATCAAGCGCATAGTGATACATTTCAGGTATCTATACAAGATAGCAATATTTTTTGAAACATAACTTGACGTTTATTTTATTATAGGAAACTTTTTACTTGGACTGAAACAGGGATGCAACAATGAAGAACATGCTCGTCTTGATTTCGCACAGTAGAATCAGTAACAAATTTCTGTATTGTTGTAGTATCTAGTTCTAAAATCTTCAATGCATTTAAAGCTTGTAAAGCCTCATCACTGATCGGTTTCACTGAAAAGAAGACAAAACGAATGATGCAGTATAAATTTCAGTTAAAATGGCATCGATTAAAAGAATGAATACTCGACAAAACCAAATATTTTATTCGATATATTACATACCTCCTGTGATAATATTTGACATAATTTGTGTTTCTTCTATGTCACGATAATCATTTTTGCTCACTTTTATGCTTAGTTCAAATACAAGTTGAAATTTATCATAACTATAATAACTCTTTAATTTTCTTGCAGCTAGCTTCGATGATCTCATAATTGCTGAAAAATAACTTTAGAACATCACATTAAACATTATTTACTTCTTTCTTAAGATGACATTCTACAACATTCTTCATTCATATAACATTCTTTCTTCACTTTTAGTTGAAAAACAGATTTTTCAACTAGAATGACACTTGTGAACTACCTGACGTGCTTTTCTTCCATACAAATGGTTTGGGATCTTGAATTTTTCTTATCTGAGCTTCTAACAATCTTACTAGTATTATGTGTAGCCTAACAACAAAAAATACATGTGAGATGTTGACTGAGTACAGCAGTGCTAATTCATACTTCATCAAACCATTTTCTTCTAACACTTTTGTGTAAGATGGATTTTCTGGGTCAAATGCACGCACTTTATTTATCGGCAAAATTTCAAATCCACCAAGATAATGTTGTCCGTTTACTGGTAAAGTTATAACCGTTGTTTTAATATATGTGTCCTCCTGATAAGGTGGCATTGTTGGCAACTAAATTATATATAAATGAATGAAACACTCACAGTGGAGATATTATAAGTTAGTCTTACAAGTAACATTTAGTAAAATCTAGAAAAACTGACTTGCTAAGTCAAACTTTATTGTTGAATAAACGACTTGTACAACTGACCTGAATGTGTTTAAGAGTTAGATTTCAAAACTGCAAGACAACTTTACATTTTTGTTCCACTCCATGTACTTATTACTTTAGCGACTTAAACGCTTGCGGTAAGAAGGTTCAAAACGCATATCGACAAAGATGGGAGTCAAGTTCTCTTCGTTCGTTCAACATGAGCGTACACCAGTTCAACAGAAGTAAAGGAGTTAAACGATTGCCATTTGTGCAATCTTTCAAAGCCAAAGATTGCAAGCGCGTTGTTGAAATTCTGCATATTATACGAATCGAGCGTAGCTCTGATTTTCGGGAGACTTTCACATTTTTGAAGCCAAATATATTTTTTTTGTCATACATAGTGTTAGCGTTTTTCTAATCAAATATCTTGAAATTGTCTAAAGCTTCGAATTGTCCTCCATTCCGTATCCCCTCCTATAATAGAAGACCATGGTCTTCTATTAAGGGGGGAGGGGTAGAGTAGGTAGACCATGCATCCAAAAGTTTATATAAATTGCCCTGAATTCAGTTTTGCCATAACAAAAATTTCGTTTGGCACTTAGAGTAAGGCATTTTTGATTTCGATCGAACATCGATTATCTAAAATCGAAAATAATCGAAAATGTCTTAATCTAAGTGCAAAACGAAATTTTTGTTATGGCAAAATACTGAAGTGACGTAACAGTTCAGATTACTCGAGTAAAGTGTAAAATGAAGTTAACATGCAAAATAGTATAAAAGTGTGGAATTCTCTTTAATGTGGAGGCCTGGGAATAACAACCCCCAAATAGACTTTGATTTTCGGGTAGCTCGATCCGGTGCATACCTATGCATAGAGCTGTTCTTAGTGTTAAGTTTACCCAATATTCAATCCAGTTAAAAATGGATATAAGCTCTATTCTGTCAGAATACAAGCGGAAAAATATTTCATTATAGTGTTCTCTACTAAAACTACCGAAAAACACAAAAGCCGTTTTGTACGAATAGAGATTTGAACACATGAACTTAGGTTTGCAGTTCACGGCAAAACTAAATGCACTGTTCTGTACCTATATTCTGTATAACTATTGAAGTTGTGCAATCGACTTGATGTGATCAGTAGTATTTTTTTCGGTAAAGTTAAAATTATGTCAAAATGTCCATCCATCAGACACAACCGTGCAATAAACTAACAGTTCATTAGCTGCGTGGTTTATGTCACTTCAATGAATTCTTGTTGGTGCAACATTTAACCAATGTTTGATTCACGTCAAAATAAATTCCGGTCGGTCGTTCCTCTGTTCGTTAATTCTATTATTCAGATTGTATTTCCTATTCCTCTAGTCCGCTACCATTCCAATCAGTCGTTATTCCTCTATTACATTAGCGCGATTGTTTAATCTTTATTGAACATTTTATTTTAACGATTTCTAATATTGAACATCATTTTTTATGACAAAATGAGAAAAGACACCCAAAGATAACATGCTTTTGATCCTGATTGACAAAACTTCGAAAACAAAATTCGCAATTATGCCCGTAATTCTCAATTTTCTTTATCAGAACTCGAGTTTTATGCAATAAAAATATCATATTCGGGATCACGATAAAAAACTGAGTCGATTGATGTGTATTTCTATCCTATCTGACTAGCTTAATTTTTTTCAAATTTTCGCGTTGAAAAAAAATCAGCGAGATTTTCACAAAAAATTAAAAGTCAGCCAAAAATTTCGAAATACACATGAATCGACTCAGTTTGCAGGCGCAAAAATGAAGATTCTATCTCATTTTGATAAAATTTAATTTTGAACGTGTCTTTATTGAGTTTTCATGAATTATCAACTATTGTTTCAATTACCATCAGAAAAGGGAGAATGGAAAATTTTTTGTCAACGGCTAAAATAAACTTTAGATATGATAGTATGTTGAGCAATAAAGAAGACGACTTCGAGTCACATACTTGGCAGTGCCTAAGGTTCACAAAAGTAGCTCGCTGAAGACGCTTTGTACGCGATGTCTGCAAACGATTATTGAATGTCTTATAATAACCTCGAACCTTCACTCTATAGGCGAATAAAAAATATGTTTCTACATACTGTTGACTACGCTCTTCAAAATGGCATAAAGCGTACACACCTGCAAAAATAAAAATTTGTCTTTTCCTCCCAGCGGAAATTAAAATGTTTTTGTGCTGGTTTTGGTCGCATTTGTTACTGTCCCACTTATCTTGCCCGACATTTTGAACATTGAATCGACAAAGAAGAAAAGATAGTATCAAACAGAGGATATTCTATAGAAGATCAATTAACCTTATGTATTATGTAAAGATAAGAGTGTTAAGCATGTTACTTTAATAATTCTACAAATTTTAAATCTTTAAAATCGAACGTTTTGGACTTACTACGATTACAAACCTGACGAATTTCTAACCTCTTTCACAATTTTCTAGTTCACATTTCCATTACTCTGATGGAACTACCGGTGTCCAAGATTCCTAAATCTATTTCGGAAATCTTCTTTTCATCATGTTTTATCCGGTTTCTTCGTCGAGATGTTTGTTAATCATAGAAAGAACCTTTTTTCTATTGGAATAATAGATAGAAAACGAATACATTTTCTATCATATCAAATTGTTTAATATATAGACAAAGAAAGTAGTGCTCAGGGTAATTTAACTCAGAAGAGAAGTTCAAAAAGATACATACGGAGAGATGAACATATAAAGTATAGAACTGGTACAACATACTTTTATTTGGATTTTTGAAGAATCTAACAAAACTGCCAACATTTACACAGTGTATCTCAAATCATTTTCAAGCAAAATGAGTAAGAAAAGCCAATAAAAATTAAAGATATATAAAAGTAAAAATGTTCTTTTTCGGTATACATAATATTAATCTAATAATATGTTGTAAGAACATTATTTATCGGTCGATAAAACATCTATCTAATGAATAATACATCTATATGAAGATAAATCATAATACTTAAAATGAAATAAGATAAATTAGCCAAATGCACATAACTGACTAACTCTGGCATTATTAGTTTTGTTTTTAATAATCTCTCTGTATCGATAAAAATTCAAATGTTTATTTTTAAAAAAAATATGCCGTGTCGTTACCAAAAATATCACGGCGTTACTTTAGTTTAATGGCTTTTCTAAGCGACCGTAGGCTATTTTCAGAAATTCTTTTTTACCATTGTGTAGACTGTAACCTTTTCCACAAACTTTATTTTGACAGTTTTATTTTTTCCTTCGAAAAATTCGCAGAAAAATAGATATTACGCTGACTGTCTTAATAAAAGGGGTCGTTTTTTGTCACGACGTTACCGTCTGAAAATCTGTTCAGCAAAGCAAAACCCGATTCCTTGCAACACGATAGATGGCACCACACTACAGAGACGAAATCGGTTGTGAAATGCTTACTTGTTGAACCCAGCTGATGCATAAAACACCTCAGGAGTGCAAAGTACTTTAAAAAAAAACTGAAAGGAATCCAGAAGTTATTTTATATTCTTGTGTTTTTGACGCTTGATTCTTCTTGTTTAGTCCTCTGGCCGATTATTGCAATTTTCGTGCATTTGTTTGTAACCCTTCCAAAATCGTGACTTTACTGCCCATTGCAGTCCATTGTCCACACCGCAGAGACTATTTCACTACTAATGGTATCAGTGATAGCGGTAGATGACATATCATGCTCGAGGATCCTAGTTGGCAGAACCTCAATTACATCATGATTCTGCAGCATCTGTTTGTCGAAAGAAAATGTTGATCACGGTAGAAAATATTATTAGATTGAGTGTTATATATGGTTTTTGTTGGGGATAACAAACGGCACGCACATTGTAGACGAATGATAAGTTAATTAAAAGAAGAAAAACCTATTTCGATAAACGATTTTAATTTCTGTCGATTTATATAATGGTATTCGACATAGAATGAGATACCTCCTGTCATTGTAAAATCATGCAAGATGGATTTGAGAAATGCTGGAAATGGAAATTAACTCAAAAATTATGAAAACTTTGCATATTTGAGATAATGTTAGTTAGTAGTTAGAATTTTTTTCCGAACCTGATCCATTAGCTGTTGATATCTGTGCATATCGGGGTGATCTACTCTTTTGGCAATATCATACGCCATTGTAAAGCTTTTTAGTGATTCCTCATAGTTGTGTTGAGCTGCATAGACGTACCCAATGTTATTATGCGTACTCATAAAAGATGGATGTAGTGGTGGTAAAGACCTCGATTGAATATCTAACGTTTTTTCATAATATTTCAATGCTTCTGTGTAATTTCCTTGATTGTCATGAACGAAACCAATGTTGTTATATGTGGCACCCACCAACGGATGATTGGAAGGCAACGCGATCTTGAATATTTCAAGACATTTACAATAATTGTCGAGCGCTTGTTCATAGTCTTTTTTATCATCATACACTGCAGCAATATTGTTGTACGTTGACCCTAATACTCGATCAGCTGGAGAAAGGGTTTTTTGCTGAATAGCTAAACATTTATTTAAATGTATCAGTGCTTGCTCCAGATTTCCCTGCTTTTTATATCCAATACCAATATTACCGTAAGTGACTGCGTATAACGCAGAGTCTTCTGGCAAATATGTCAAAGCTTTTTCATAATATCTAAGGGCCTGGTCATTGTTTCCTCTTTCATCATAAATTAGTCCAAGCTGGTTATAACATGTTCCTCTCACAGGATCATTTTTTTGGGGTCTGTTCAATTAACAACAAATAATAATGTTCGGCTTTATCAAATTCACCCATTTTTTTCATCAATACACCCAAATTCGCAAACTGATTTACCCCACCAAGTTCTCGTTTCATTTGATCTTTTAATAGCCTTAGCTCATCATCGCCATCACCGTTTATGATCAATGCAACATTCCAAATACCACCAGTTCCCTTTTTAACGGATTCAATTCGAAATACGGTGCCCATTGAAAATAAAACTTCACTTTCCATTTTGTAATAACTCATATTTTCAACGGCATGAAATGGTATTGGACATTTCAACATATCAATCGTCATTTCGAATAAAACTGCTTCATAATCTGGATGACCTACCGATTGCTGAGCAAAACTAGCGCTCACCTTTCGATTGGTCGATGTTGACAAAAAACTATTCATCGATAAAAAACCGCCAGCATTTTTTGTTACTTTTATAAATTCTTCTTTGCTCATTGCTTGACCACGGTAAACATCTAACATTCCTGTTTTAATGCCTTCTGAGTGTAATTGTTGAATTTGAAGATGGAGATCTTTGATAAAAAATCGAAGTTTGAACAGAATGTCAAGATCTTGCACTCTTAATGCTTTATTCAACATCCGATAGAGAAACGTGTCTCGTGTATACCACCATATAGCTGTACTCGATGAATATTTTTGATCAAATTCATCAATAATAGCTAACTCAGCATCATTTCCTGCATATTGTCGACGACATTCATCAACCATTTCTTTTTTCGCGTCTTCGTTTTTCTCTTTCATCTGCAGTAATATCTCAATTAACAGCTGAAAATACATAAATGATGCTTCTTGTTTATTATTCGATGTTCCAGATGAAGAAGATGACATGACACTGATAGGTAATTCATTACTGGAAGGTGTACTGACATCATCTTTCAATGCATCATATATCTTATTGATATCATCGTACACGGCTCTTATTTTCTGATATTGTTTTGCCCATTGTTTATGTTTTTCTTTTTTCGAGCAAAACACGTAGATTGCCTGAATTTGTTGATTATTGTGGAGAATGGGGACGAATTTTTCACCTAACTCTCCCGATACGATAAAAAATATTTTTTCTGTTTTACTGTTTCTAACATAATCAATACATTCATTTCCATGCTCGAATGTTTCCAAGTAATTAATTGCACGACGTACTAGTCTTTTAGCTTCTACATTACCATCGGCCGTGTTTATACGCGCATCAAGCCATACAATCATGTTCGATTCTAGATTTCGTTTATCCGATCGTACCAAAGGAGGAACAACTTCATTGGCCAGATTCTCTGATACTGACGGGGATTTACTTGTCATGTTGTTCACTATTCTTCGAAGAAAAGAAAATTCAATTATTAAAAAACCTCTGGTCAACCAGCATGAACCATTTACACGAGCCTTTCTACTAAATAGCTTTACAACAGAAATATAACAATAAGACAAATCAGGCTCTGACAGAATAAAGAGCAGACAACAGTCTTAATGTATATTATATATGTGTACCGTACATTGCAAAGTGAGCACACACTGTATAACATGAATAAGAAAAGAAAATAGAAATGAAAAGAAAAGAAAACCGCTATTTGTCGCAGCTCTAATGAAAGGAATTATATTCTTTTTCTTGGTTGAAATGAAATACAGTTGAAATGCGACGTACTTTCTTGACGTTCTGTTTTTCATTTTCTTTCTCGTTCTTCATTTTCTAAACATGTGTTGTGCAGAAGGTTCTATAATGTGACATGCATATTCTTTTAGAATAAAATACTTATTATTATAGAGTTAACAAATGCTGTATTTACACACAAGAAGGAACCTATCATATAGTGTGAGGGCTGTATGTCACCTTCTCGGAATTTGAGAGTGAATTCATACTGAAGAAAAGTGAAAAATATTTCTTTTTTAATGTAAGAACTTTCTAAGTGCCAGCAGACTCTGCTTTAATAATGGGAAGAAGAAAAATGCTACTGAAATTATTTTACCATTTGATGCAGTTATTTGCAAGAAATAGAGATTAATGCAATCAAATGCATGAAGGTATTTAACGCACTCTAATGCATTAAAAAGTTTTTTGTCCGTTCAATACGTTCGCAGGCTTTAAGTGTGGTCTAACGCCATCAGACGCATTAAATGCTTATGGACGCATTAACGCTTTTCAAAAAAGATAGTACTCGCAAGATAGAGAAGTTTTTTAATCCCTTTCTGGCATCATCATTCGATTCCTCTCAAAAAGTTCGATCTACGATGACCGTTTCTACTCAATCAGACATTACAATAAAGAACCTAGGATCTTTAGAAAAAAGTGGTGCCATCCCTTGCTATGGTGATACATGTATGCGTTCAAAGCCGTTAAAATTTATTCTACAGTGGCGGCAAAAATTTTCCGTACACCCCTATCCTCTTTTTCTTTTGGTGATAACTCGGTAACGAAAAAAGCTTTTAACAAGCGGTTTACACCAAAATATTCTCCGCTCTCTCTAGTATATTTGTAGATAAAAAAGTTAGAAATATTCATTGTTGTTCAGTGTAGGCTCATTAGACCGAAAAGTGAGCGTTTTCCG